TTTAACTCCCTCATGGTGTTTGTCACTACGGTCAAGACTTTGCTGTTGATTTTTTAACTATTTCCTGATAAGCTATGGGGCTCAAATTTTGCACACACGCATTGTGGACGACAATACAATTTGGTGAAACGATTTTTTCAAAATTTGACTTTATTTTTTTTTTAATTGTTAAAACTTTTTTTTTTTTTTTAATGTTGTTTTTGTATCTCCATTTAATGAAAAAGCTACAACTCTCCAAATTTTCTTGTTTGCATCATCGCATAGAGAAAATGTATATATAAAATAGAAAAAATCGTTAAATAAAGTTTGTAGGAAATTTTTAATGCAATTTCTGATTTTTTTTGGCAAATTTGTTATATTTGTTAGACCATTTGACGTAGCAGAATTCTTGGAAATAAAAGACTTGTTAGTCGTTTTTGAAAAATGATTTTTCAGCTAGATATGATAACATGTCATTGAAGCTAAAAAGATAAAAATAAAAAAGAATGTTGAAAAAGTTTTTATTGCAAGCTTCTATTAAAACTCATAAAATTATCAATGAATCGAAAGAAGAAAAATAAGTTGTCATTTATAATTTGATGGGAACAATAGCCTGAAAATTTTTCTTTTCACAATTTTACAATTTTGTATCATGCGATAATAAACGCGTGGACGTCTAAATAAAGAAATCTATGAATTTACCTTTGCAATTACCGTTGTAAATTTATCAAGAACAGCTTACGCTTTAATTAATCGTTATATAAAGTTGTAAGTGAATTTCGAGAAGAGAATTTTTAATTTACTGTTCTTATTAAATTATATGATAAATTATTTTTCTTCTTTTAGCTCATTATTTTTATTTATTAACCCAATAGGCTTAGTTTGGAAATGGGATTTCGAGTCGATTCAGTATAAATGGCGAATCACTTTTCAAATCGTTGCCATCAATTATTATTGCTTATATTATTTTTAAAAAATTAAATAATGAATAATCTGCATGTATGTATGTATTTTCCTTATATATGAGAAAACGACTATACCAATAGCCATCAGATTTTGAATAACGTAGTCCTTCATAAAAACATATACCCCTGGAAGCCCAAATTTTGAATTTCAGATTTTATAAAACTTTAATAAATTTTTGATTAGCAAGCGATTTGAGAGCGTGCACTGTACAGAATAAAACATTTTTACATCCAGAGCACGATAGTGTTTGTTAGAAATACTAAATACTGTTGGAAATACTGTTTTTAAATATTTTGTGATTTTGGTACTAAACTGAATTTTAAGTGCCGTAAGTGCAAAGAACATGACATTTAATAAATAAATTTAACCCACAAAACAATAATAATAAAGAGATAAAAAAGTGTTTTGCTAGTCGTTTTACTAAAAAACTGAACAATGATATGATGAACTGAGAAAAGACTTAAAAGAAAAAAAAAAAAAAAAGAAAAAATGTATGCCAACAGTTAACACTGCGTCGAAAATTTTAAACATTTCCTGCTTTTAAAAAAATTATGATTTTGCTTTTGAATTGTTTATGAAATAAGCGCGAAGAAAAGGATGTTTAATAATAAAGCAAAGATGATAAAAAGAAATAGGTTCGCAGGAATGAGTGCAACAGCAGACTGGTAGACTGCGAGCTCAGTGAAAGCGTAGAAAAACCTTAACAAATCCTTATGGGTGATCATTAAAATATAAAATTTTTCAGATTTGTTTATTGATTTAATTTTTTTTGGTTAATGTACAAATTCTTTTCGTTTTTTCATAAGTGTAGAAAGTTAGGTATAGACAGATATTAATAATATCGTCCCTTATATTATCTTGCTTAAGTTTATAGTTAAAACTGTTTGTTAGGAATGAAGTAAGTGAATATTTGTTTAAAAAAATTTCAAGCATTTTAGTTAGGAAAGGTTAAAAAAATTTCATATAATGATAATAAAAATTTGAATCTTTGTTAAATTAATTTAAGAATGAGATATACATCAATGATCACTAATTATGAAATAATTTTGAGTTTTCATAGAAATGAAAAAAAAAGTTGTGATTTTGAATACTGTATCAATGGATATTAAGCTGTTAATAATAATAACGATTTCTGAAATTGAATAAAAAATTTAAATAACAATTCCTGAAAAAAATTATGTTTAATTAAATGTTAAATAAAAACAAAATAAATATTATCACAGAGTTGTTTATCCTTTTTTTGTATATATATATGGGGTTAGCTTGATTCGACGTTCAAATAAATGAAATTTCCCTTGAAAAGCCAGTTTGGAAGTCGAATTGGGCTAATTTACCATTTTTCCGCTTAACTTTTTATCTGATTCTTTTTTTTTTTTAACGTTTTACATGTCAATGGTTTGATTTCATATGTATTAAATTTTTTTAAAACGTGTTGAACTTTTTTGGAGCAGCAGCTCTTGGTAACTTTTAGGCGAGCTTACTACAATTTTTATATTTTACTTATTTTGCAGCATATTGCGCAAGATGTTTTCTAGACCAAAATTGTTTTTTTTTTAAATTATAATTACTACCTTGCTTGATATATATATATATAAAGTCAGAAATACCTCATTACTTCACAAACAACTATTCAATAAAACAGGCAAATCAACAACCTTGTATTCGGCGTAGGTTTTGTAAAATTACAATCGATTTCGAGGGCAAAACGGGTCCCCCTTCATCAGGAGCAAAAAATGCTGCACAAAATCTACGCTTCGTTTTGCTCTCGGAATCGATTGGGATTTTACAAAATCTACGCCGAATACAAGATTGTCGATTCACCTGTTTTATCTTCCACGTATGCGTGTTTCTCTTGCGTCTTGAAATATTCAATATTTTTAATTTTATAATTTCTACATGTCATTTTACTGATTTAAATTAGTGACCTTGTAGAGACATTAAGTATTTTTAGAAGCAAGAAAAATGAAAAATTAGCAACGCCTTCGCCGGGAATCGAACCACGGATTTCTGGAATACCAGCCCGGCGTGCAGAACCACTACACCACGGAGGCACGCTAGGAAGGCGGAAAGAATACTTTATAACCTAAAATTCGGAAATTTCTGTAATCGGGAATGTCTCGGCGAACTTTGTATTACAAAAGGAAATGGCGCATGGAATTACAATGTTCCTTTCTACTTGGTCTATGCTGAACGTAGAGGAACTGAGACTGAACTGTGGAGTGACTTATCTGAGTTCACATGCATAACAACAAAGTATAGAGAAGGGTTAAAATACTTTTTATTCACTCAACCAAATATTTACAGATGGCCCCTTCTCGGGAGTACAGAGAAGCCTCTATTTGGGTTCCAAATCAAGATAAGAAAAGTAAGAAACTAATATAATACTAAATTAAGCTGACTTAGCCGAAGCTAGACACAAATACCTAACGTAGGATCTTAATTTAACCTAGTCGGCGATTATTAACAGGAACGTACAATACAGCTGCACGTACTACATTTAACAACGAAGTAGCCTGACGGCAAACACCCGCAACTAAGGACTCCTAAGCTCTCTTTTCTTGAATTTAAACTCCTTCTAACTCATTTGCATGAAACGCGATACTAAAAATTCATTCTGGTAGGGAATAGTAGATGGCAAACAAGTAGCATGTGTAGCATGTTTAAACTTATATAGTGCAGCATGTTTAAACTTAAAAAACTGTTAGAAACTTAAAGTAATCCCTAGAGTATATTAAATTTGTAACTTCATTTGTTCAAGCCTATATTGTTAACTAAAAATCCGCTGAGCACGTAGCAATAAGTCACAGCTGCAATGTGAGTTACTGCTTAACAGAATGATTGTTAAATCATGAGCTTGTAGAAACGTTATTTTAATGCAGCTCTGATGCCACCACCTGTGGGAAGGAGAAGAAATCGATTGCTAATAAAGAGAAACATCCAGGTAAGAAAACCTTTTGAAAGTATTCTTTCTAGCACCGATGCATTATAATTCATAGCGATGCTTAACATTGGTAAGTATTCGAAACGGCGAGTAGTTTGAAGCATAAAATGTGTCTCGTTGGTATTGTTATTCATATTTCATTCTTTCTAGTGACATTATCTGATATTCTCTAGCTGTAATATTGCCATCACTGGACGCATTGAAACATTTGGCAACATTTCTAGTTCACCTAACATAGGTAACTAACATGGAAGAGTATATTCTCTCTCTCTCTATATATATATATCTGTAGGACAATGTGAATAGAATAGTATTTTCAGCATTTTTATTTATAAATATGATGTATGATGTGGTAAAAAATTTCTCTAGCATTTTTTTAAATGGACAATGGGTAAAAATTAAAAGTAAGACTAAATAAGAATTTTTTTAAATTTATGAGTATGGTATTTCAAAGGATATAATTTATTGAATTTCAAATTCCAAACAGAACTAAGATTACATCACACCTGGAGTTCGTACCACACTGTAATGAGTTCGCCTTTCTAGTTATGAATATCGGAATCGGCATAGTGATAAACATAGTCTTTCAACATAAGTTTTTTTTTAAGGAATTTTATCATTTGTATAATACTTTCTCATTAATTTGATTTGCAGACATGATCTCTCCATTTGCAAAGTTGTATTGCTCAAGTTCTGTAACTATCGTGTATAGAATTCCTATTAAATAGTCAATTGAAATTTTCTTATGGTTAATATCGAGATTATACAATTAGTACGTACGTTACGTTACCATAAAAAATTTATTGCATTTTGTTTCGTTTTTATTAAACATGTATTTATGGACAATGTAGATATACTGGGACGCTTCGGAGGTATTGAATAATATGAAAAGTAAAAAATTATTGTAGAATGAAAAGTATTCCTAGAACAAATCATATATAATTAGAGGAACCGATAATATTTAATTAAGATCATTCATGAAGTTAAAAACTGTGAGTATGTTTATCTACAATTAATAAGTGTGTTTTGTAAATGATTATTTTGTATATTTATTTAATTGTTTTAATATGTTATATATAAAAATAGTTATATTTTAAATTACATAATAAGAGAGTATTTTAAACAACAGTTTACTTCCGAAAATGTTTTACGTCTGTACAGGTGGATATTAATAGAAAGGTACTGATTTTGAAAACTTTGCTAACATATCACATTTACACATTTATTCTCATAATTTGACTAGTATTTCCATAGTATCTACAGCAAGACCTTTCCATAGCCAATCTTGCTTAGGCCGAGAACACCAGACCCGTAAGCAAGATCATGTCCAGCAAGTCCAGAGGTGTAAGTTACACTGTGTCCAGCTCCAGTAGTATAGGCAAGACCATGACCTAAAATATCAGAGTAAGCCAGTGGTGCTGCTCCTAAAAGTCCAGTATGGCTAAGAATTGGGGCACCATAAGCGACAGGAGCTGTTTTGGCTACTGTTGTGTAAGCAAGAGGCAGTAGGCAGTGCCTCTTGCTTACCTTAGCTAAGGCAGTGTAGGTGAGAGGTGCAGCTGCGACGGCAACTGGAGAAACTCCATGGCTGACGACAGAACGCTGGATGGAATAAGAAGCAGGGGAGGCGATGACTGACCGAGAAAGAAGAGGAGCTGCAAGAATCGGTGCAGCAGGTGCTTTCAGAGCGAGTCCAGTTCCGTAGATTGCTGGGGAGACATATCCAGTCGCAGTGACTGCTGCAAATGCAGCGCATAAGAAAACTACCTACGAAAAAATAATTTTCATACGTCATTTCTTAATTTCATGTTATTTCTTAATAACATGTTTAGATTTCGTGAAAATCAAGCTGAAAATGAACATGCCATATCTTACGACCTGATTAAGAGAAATTCGTTACATGAATATGTTAATTTCATATTAAAATTATGAATGTTAAAAAAAGATGCTTTTAGTTAATTAAACTATTACACGTTAATACTAGATGTACAGATTTTTATGAAGATGATTGATAACAATGACTTGGGATGACGGGTAGCAGAGTTGTGTATAAACGTGTAATAATAAATCTAAAATTTTAATTTTTAAAAGATATATCAAATTTTTATTATCATGAATATTTTCGATTAGAATAGAAATTCCTGTCATTTAGTAATGTGCATTCAAATTTCGATTTTATGGTAAAAATAATGCAATTCAGAGACTAATTTTTATAAGGAAAAATTATATAAAATATTTTGTTATTACATAAAACTGAATATTCATGAAATTATTCCAAATGTATTATTTATACAGGAAAAGATCATTGTTTAACGTACCAGATACTAATTTGAGATCCTAGCGGATAGCGGTACTGTGGCTGAACAATGGTAGTTTGAGCCAGGTTCAAATCCTGGCAAAAGACCGGCCTCATGGAAAGTTCCCTGATCTTCCCCATTTTTAATGTGAATACGTGCCAGTTTCTTTTAAAATATCCTCTGTAAAGGCATCCCTGTTTAGTAATCCCCTGTTTTGAATAGCCCTCATGCTGGGCTTAAATTGCGCTGGAGCTCACCAGACGGCTCCGCTACTTCTCAGTTTTTGAAATAAATGGTAATTCTAAGCGAAGCACACCGGAGCTCTAAATTGAGGGACTCGGGGACTTCGTTTATGTAAGTGAAACACAGTTTCAGTAAAAAAAAAAATTATTTTAGTAAAAAGTATACCTTAAAAATAGATTTTAACTTCTGAATGCGTATGCCTGTCTATCTCTGAGAGCAAACACTTTCGGGAAGATCAGGACTTTTAAAGAAAGGAAAGCCCCCACCAACACGCCATTTTTATCTGCTTAGTTAAATTAATTTTCCCTTCACTAGTTTGTTACTTCTGGCATCTGTTAGCACGATCGGCAGAGGTATCCATTTCTTTTCTATAGAGCAACAGTACTGTCGGGTAGGTTACATATCATGGTTGGTAACGTTCTTTGACGTTTAAGATACTTTTACGAAGACTAGTCCTACCGTGGTTGCATACACAGGTTTAGTTTTATATTATTACAGGAACGGGTCTGGGGTTACAGTAACACGAACTCGATTCGGTTCCTATTGTCCAGAAAAGGTAATCTATGCTGTCGCGGAAGGCAGTTGCTTTGGCCATCCGAGTAGGTAGCGTGATGGCCACGCATATGGAGTTATAGCCCTTGTTGACAAACCCCGTTGTGATCTCCGACTCCCGAGGTTTGACGAGTGCCCAGTGGGTCCCCTTTTCGTATCAAAAAGAAATTCGTTCTATCTTCTCTCTGATGTGATTCACGACTAGTTTCCACCTTCTGCCTAATATCGAGGGTCTTCAGTTGGGAACAGACCTACCCTAGTTGTACTTAGTTGCAGGAAATGTTTACAGATTTCATTACGAAGTCTAGATAGCAGCATTGCCATATGTAAATTTTAATTGTTGCTTTTAGTTGGAAGGGTTAAGAAAATTCGAACAATGTTTAACACAATATTCAAAAATATAAACTTACCTTAGCAATCATTCTGAATGTAAAATTAGCTAGTGCAAGAAAGCTAGTTAAGTGCCATTTCAAACATCCTGTATTTATACTAAAATCCGAAGAAGGTTGACAAGATATAGAGTAAGCATTAGAAACTATAAAAAAAAAATGACTAAAAGGCGTAAATTCCGTAGTTTGAAAACGAATCTGTAAAGGTCTTCACTCCATCTTTGAACGCTGAATAACGCCTAGTGGATGACCTTCCAGAAGACTTGATGCACTGATTCTAAGAAGCGAGCATTTTAGTATTTGTTACACTTAAAACTGGGCGAGGTGATTATACGATCAGTTTTTTTTATTACGAGATGAACACTTTTTTTAGCTATAAAAACACTTGACGTCTTTGGCATATTTTATTAAATGATAGTTCTAAAATGTGACTCAAAAGAAAGTTATGATCAGCTTTCATGTCTCAAAAACAACGCAACTGAATTAATGTTCTTAACATTTTCGAGCCACAGATTTCAGGATACAATAATTATAATTTATTGCCTTCTGTGCACAGTATAGTGAACATAACCTGCAGTTTCTAAATTAAATATTTGGTCATGTTTATATTAAGGTATTGAAAAACTTGCAAGTTTTGTTTAAAACAATTTTACGAAGATTACAACAAAGCACTCAAGGGCTATCTGCTTAAGAGGAGGGATGTCTCCACGAAGGACTTGCTCAGATTCACGTTATATGTGAGAAAAACCATCACAACTCCCATGCAGCCAGGACATTTGAAATCTTCGGGCTCTGGTGGGCCCACATTTTTGTTTAATTTAGTTTTGTATTAACTTTATTTATCTTATAATATAAAAAAGAAGAAAGATTAGCATAGGCTAAGCAATTAATGAAAAAAAGATATGAAAATTACAAAATAATCGAAGCTCTGTCTTGGATGTTTGCAATGGTGTACTGAGTACAATTACAAAATAAATGTGCATCAGTGAGTTCATTGTCCTCTGAGAATAATATATCAAATATTTCTGAACTTCATTTTTTTTTTACCTCTCATAAAAATTCGAAATATCTCTAGACATAGCCACAGCCTTATTAGTGCACACACCATGAATTTTAGAGGTGATGAAAAAAGCATCATCATCATTATCATCTTCCCAAAGAAGGGATGAGGATGATGATATTAACAACAATAATAGTATTATATCATGTATATCATACGTTTAATTACATTTGAACTGTATTACGCAAACAGACTTTTATGCAGTTTTCTCCAAGAAAGTAGGTTTCCTGATATTGTTTTCTATGAAATGCAGTACAACTTGCTTGTAACAAGTGCTGTTTCTACGAGAACCCGGATTTAGAGAGGAAAATGGAAACACTTGGTTGGTATAATGTTAATTCTCTGGAAACATAACTTTGATTTGCTTTTAACGAGCAAGTTCTGGTCATAGCGAGGTGTATTGAATTTTTACCACCGAGTTCTACAAGTGTTATCAAGCCTATGCACCAATGCACCATCAGAAGTTTTAAATTAAACTTTCTTAAGCACTTGATTTTTATGGTCCTCGATAGAAGAGAAAAAATAGAAACAACCTCAAATGCTAACGTAAACGTACTCGAAGCGAAACGTTTAATAAACGACGCATGGGAAAACGTTACGTCAACATGCATGTCCAACTGCTTCCGTAAAGCTGGACTGAACATTTCTCAAGAACGGCAAATAACTGGAAAAAAAGAAGTACGAGTAGACTTCTTGGAAAATTTGGAAATGAGTAAAGAAGAATTTAATAATTTTGTCTGTGTTGACGCTAATATTATCACTTCCTAGATACCCACTCCCGAGGATATTGCAGCTGAAATTCAAGCTAAAGCAGATGAAAAAATAATGAAAGGATGATGATAACGACGAATATGAAGAATTTCAAGCTGAACGGCTCCTAAGTACTCAATGGCTTTTGAGTGAGCAAAGAAACTTAAAACGTTTTCGAAGCCAAGAGTGCAAATGACGATGTTTTTCGGGCCATGAGTCTTCCCCGAAGAACAATAGCATAAGAAAGAGACAATAAGGCAGTTCAAAGAAAACTAACTAACTTTTTGGTTTTGTACTGTACAGAAGTAAAAAATAAAGTATGTGCAATATAATATATATATATAAATTTTTAGGATTTGTTTCACGAACCTGTTTTTTACTAGCACTCGCTTATAACGAACCAATATCACTGTCCGAGTTCGACTGTGTATATAGAGAGATAATTAAGAATAAGACTATGATAGTTGTTAGGAAAGTTTTATAGGAATTGAATTCAATATATTTTTTTATCTTTTTTTCGGTGATCTTTCGCTTTTCATGTATGCATAATTTTTCGCAAGATTCTTTTATTAGAGAAAATTGAATTTAATCTAAAAAACTTAAACGTTGGAGAAAGATACATCTTTAAATTATTCTTATTTATATTTAGTAAACATGTTTATTTTTTCTTTCAACATACACTTCTTTCAACACATAACGAATTTCCTTATGAGTGAGTATGATCTTTTTTTTTATGCCACCCAGAGGCCGTCTCTCAGCCTAATATTTTAAGGAGCTCTTACGTTTTCAGGTGGGCTCTAGACAAATGTTTTACGTATTGAAGCCATTTAGTCAGCTATTCAATCAACAAACAGATAAACAGATCAGCACGAAATGGCAAGGTCAGCCATTTTCTGTTCCGCATGAAGTAACAAATTTTAAATCTCCATATTAAACTGAATGTTTTAGCCTTATTTAATGTGGTGAATGCGTAGGACATTATAATGCCCCAGTCCCCCAGGAAAAGGCTAACGTAGCTTAAGGCATGTAATTCAAATATATATAACGTAAAATCGCAATAACAACCTTGTATTTAGCGTACATATATTAAAACACTCAATCGATTTCGAGGGCAGCTAAAGGTCTCTCCTCATCAGGAGAACGAAATTACGAGGCGGCCAGTGTAACTCTGATTTAAAATCTGGTTACGACCACGTGTAGTGCTGATAACGACCACGTGTTTCTGAGACTCCTTTGCCGATGCTTTATTTTTCTTCTTTTTTCCTCTTTCTAGTAATTTCGTTCTCCTAATGAGGAGGGGCCTTTAGCTGCCTTCGAAATCGATTGAGTGTTTTAATATATGTACGCTAAATACAAGGTTGTTATTGCGATTTTTATTGCCACATTGAGGTGTTTTTCTTCTGTTCTATATATAATGTATTCGCTTTAAAAATAATTGCTTTCAAGAACGTATTTCTTACTCCTAAAATTTTACATTGAATATTGTAAGTAGTGGCAATAATTCATCTTCAGACGTAATAAAAAAAAGTAAACGGAAATATCATGCAGTGATTTCTTAGATTTTGTATTATCATAGCTCTTAATTTATAGAGTTTTCTCATTTACTGCGTACTGATGCTGTAGATTAAAATTAGTAGAAGAAAAATGTTCATTATCATCAAACAGATTTCTTTTAATATTCAGATTAATTATCAATTAATTTACTGATTAATTATCAATAAGATTAATCGGTTTTTAATAACGAAACATGAGGAGATGAGAACTGTTTCGCAATGAGGAATGACTGAAAAAGGAGGTGTTGTCTTCTTGGGCTGAAAATTGTGATTTTCGAATTAATAGATCATTATACGTATACCTGATGAGGAAACCACTTAACCTCTTTGTATGGTCTATTAAACTATACACATTTTTCGCTGTACTTCATTTAAACTTATTTCAACCAATCCTGCAAGGCAAGTTGAAAATGACATAAAAAATTGCAACTCTTGGAATTAAATATGCCGATCAATTTATGCTGTATGGAAATTAAATCTTCTTGTAATTTTATTTTTTCATATAGGAGCTTGGAGACCGCATTAAAAGTTAGATATTGTTATTTGCCGAAAATTAAATTTGCAAAAATTGACATTGCAAAAACATGTATATTTTTATCATTTAACCCTTTCTGTAACTGGAAGTATATGACTACGAGCAACGATTGCGAAAATAAAGCCAGGAGAGAACTTAATCTCGGTAAGGGGGTGGATATATCTCGGTAGGGGATATTTGGTTCTGCCAATTGTAATAAAAAAATAAAAACAGGAGGTGCACAACTAGATGTTATAGCAGTCCCATATATAAAATTTCAGCGTTCTACGGATAATTCTATTGAATTGTGCGAAATACATGCATATAAATATATACAGACAGACGTAGCGAAAAAGAGTCCCATTTTCAATCCATTTTAAACCCATTTTACAATCCATTTTGGGAAAAGGAGTCCTCTGTTCCTCTATTTTGTGCGTATGCACAAAAGGTCAAATGGATATTTCTGTTGAAATATGATATCCGAAATTTTTAGAACTTACGATACATCCTTTACTTCGCCCAAAGAAGTAAAATGTACACTGAAGTAGTGTCTTTAATTTATGACATGCAGTTTTCTACCAGATGTGAAATTATATATTTCTCAAATTTTCTCTCCAACAAGAATTAATTTTACTAGGTGGCTGGTATTATTTTTCAGAAATCATGTGAAAAGTGTCGGCTGTTAATTGTTGAAAGTAATTACAACAGGAACAGATTTCGAAGTTAACCTGCGCGTATTGTATTTCTTATGCTGCATTGCTCTTCGTCCATAAACACTAAAACGGAATTTGCAGCTATTTTGTGATCTCATACTTTATATTCTTAGTTTCTTTCTTCTTCTTCTTCTTCTTTTTTTTTTTTTTTTTTTTTTTTAAATTTCGATTTTTTTTTAACTGCAGTTTGTATGTATGAAATTATTATGTTTGTATGTAGGAAGTTATAAAAAAGATTTAACGGTAAAGTAAGTTGCAAAATATTTGTATGCTTCATGATGTAAAATTTCTCTAAAGTATGGGGGTTCCACAAGATCATTTTAAATCACTTAAAAACATCAAAACTCCCACCTCTCTTGTAGGGAAAAACCGTGCGACTGGTCGCCTTCGAAATCGATCGCTCTTTTTTCAAGATCTGCACCAAACCAAGATTTTTTTTGACTAATTTTAAATTTTACAATGGCCTGTTTCAA